AATTGACCTAATTAGTGTTAATTGGTCTTCCAGCTGTTCGTTATATGATCAATTTCCTTTTTCCAGCCACTTATTGCTACTTGTCCCAAATTTTTTGGGATTTGTTGACACTGTGAAATTTTGAATCAACATATTTTTCCTTCAACATGTTACATTTACTCAGATTAAACTTTTGATCTGTCATCTATGTTATATTACGAATAAAATATTGACATTTGCCATCTCCACATCATTGCATTCAGTTTTTATTCACAATTTGTTTAGTGTCCCAACTTTTTTGGAATCCGGTTTGTATAATGGTAGGGGAGAGGGTGTCAGAGTTCTAACAGTCTGCCTTCACCAACATTTTCACTGAACACATCATCTCTGGGTTGATGTTAGAAATGGCCGCTCTGTCACAGGAATGAATGAATCTTCTTTGTGTCTGAGATGCTTTGTATTTGTCTCACAGGGATGGAGAATGATGACAGCACTGTTCAGTACGCTATTGGGCGCTCTGATACAGTGGCTCCGGGTATTGGCATTGATCTAGAATTTGATGCTGATGTCCAGACCATGTCCCCGGAGGCTTCAGAGTATGAGACCTGCTATGTCACATCTCATAAGGGCCCCTGCCGTGTTGCCACGTACAGTCGGGATGGGCAGCTTATTGCCACTGGTTCTGCTGATGCCTCCATCAAGATTCTGGATACTGAACGCATGCTGGCCAAAAGTGCCATGCCCATTGAGGTGAGACAGGCTGCAGAGTAAAGGTGCGCTCATTGTTGTTAAGCACTTTTATTAAGGACGTGTTTTTCTCGTAGGTCATGATGAACGAAACTGCTCAGCAGAACATGGAGAACCACCCTGTGATCCGGACTCTCTATGACCATGTTGATGAAGTCACCTGCCTCGCCTTCCATCCCTCTGAACAGATTCTGGCCTCGGGTTCCAGAGATTACACCTTGAAACTCTTTGATTATTCAAAACCTTCAGCAAAGAGAGCCTTTAAATACATACAGGTCCGTTTTTCCTGTTTTCTTAGTCACACTAATCAGGTTAACACAATATTTCCATTCAGTGGTACCTGGTACTGTGGAACAAAGTGCACGTTGTCTTAAAGCTGATTTGTTGACAACGGAAAAGAAGAAGAGGAAAGTGTTAGCAACTCCATAAATGACTAAACTGCTGTGTGTTCCTCTCCAAAGCTGGAGTGTTTATCATTGTTGTGATCAAGTATGCACCATCGTGGAACCAGGATCATTAATTTTTAAACATTAGTTTTGTTGTGGCTAAATTTCATCATTCAACATTATCATTAGTAAAAACAGATGTAGGCGCCCTAGATGCAGCTCTCTGCTCCACACAGAGGGCTGCGGTAGCTCGGTGGTCTGTGGTTGCGTCAGGAAGGACATCCGGTGTAAAAATGATCGCCAGTTGTTTTTGCCATGTGCTTCAACCCAATTTTTAACGGTGACCTTTTTTCTGCCTAGATGCAGCCACAGTGTGACATAATGTCCATCCTTGTTGTGAGCATAAGTTGAAAAATGTGAGGTCCTGACTTCCATTTTGGTGTGGCTGCATCTAGATGGAAGAAAGGTTCCTTGAAAATTTGGTGGCTGTTTGTGTTTTTCAAGTTCTCGTGCTCACAACATGTGTAGACGTAGGGAGGGTTCCTCCTCTTTGCTCCACAAGGGGGAACAACAAATCTAGAAGGAGCCCAGATTGATGATTTATCCGTAGTGAAGTAAAGGAATACAAGGAGTCCTGGATTTAACATGAGCAGTTGAGTTGTGTAACCAGAAAGCTGAACTTTAAAATCCTGATGATTTGTATGGTTTGAACATGTAAACATGATTACAGAGTGTTTTCTGTGATCCAGTCCTGTTCACATCTGTTTTCTTACAGGAAGCAGAAATGTTGCGTTCAATCTCCTTCCACCCCTCTGGTGATTTCTTGCTGGTGGGAACACAGCACCCCACCCTACGTCTCTACGACGCCAACACTTTCCAGTGCTTTGTGTCCTGCAACCCACTAGATCAACACACGGACACCATCAGCAGCGTCAGCTACAACCCGTCCGCCAACAGCTATGTCTCCTGCAGCAAGGACGGGAGCATCAAACTGTGGGATGGCGTCTCCAACCGCTGCGTGTCTACGTTTGAGAAGGCACACGATGGAGCAGAGGTCTGCTCCGCCATCTTCTCCAAGAACTCTAAGTACATTTTGTCTAGTGGAAAAGACTCCGTTGTGAAACTGTGGGAGATCTCTACAGGCCGAACACTAGTGAAGTACACAGGTGAGGAGGATGGCGTTTATTTACACCACACAATTATTTCTAATTTATATTTAAAAATCTTTGCAGTGCACTTTACAAACAGTTACAGAAGGCGTATATTTTCATTCTTTCAACCTTTATTTAGAAGGTTAATCCCATTGAGCCTCTGGGACTCGTTTACAAGAGCATCAGAGGAGGCAGGAATAACAAAACATAGAACTAGGCCTGTCGTGATAAACAGTAAATCAATTAATCACATGATCTCTTGTAAATGAGTCCCCGAGGCTCAATGGGATTAACCTGTAAAAATAAAGGCTGAATGAATACATGAAAATTATCAACCTCGTTTTCATTTATCGGCTTTATCGTTTCTTCGTGTCTCTTTCTACTGAAGACACTGGACGACAAAAGGCTCAACTCCGGTGCTCTTCACTGACCCCTCCCTTTCTCTTTTTAAAATCTGTTTTAACGTCCAAAATAACATTTTTGGATCGTTAAAAACAGCTAAGCTACAAGCTAAGCTAACAGGCTGACCTCGGGAAAAACCTCCGTCTTGTCGAAGCTCCAAAATTCACGATTGAAACCCGTGCCTTCATGTTAGAAGTTGTTTTTCTCTGCAAAAAGAAGCTGAGAACTTGTTTACTGTTTGTTTGTTTTTAATTAAAAGCTTTCTGTGAAAAATGCTATGCTAAAGCTCAAAGCACACAGCGCGTCCGCCATTTTGAGAACCAAAGAGAGACAGCCCATGTCACGTCAAGGGGCCTCCCTCCCATTTTTCTTAGAGACACTGCTCGCTCCCTCACTATCCATCCTTCGGTTCAGTCTTATACTGCCATCTGGTGGTCAATAACGGCACTACACACAAAATTAACCAACATTTCTTATAAAATTTGACAGTAAGTACTAATTATTGTCAAATAAATAAAAAAAAATTCATTTATTGCAATATTTTCTGAGATAATAGCCCAGCAAAATGTGTTACCGTGACAGGCCTACGTATAACACCAAACGCCTGACAGTAGGGATGCACAGTATGGCATAAAATTCATATCACGATATGTATTGTGAAGGGTGGTGGTAACGATATATATCACAATATGTTTTTGGTATAAAACTTGCAATAGGGATGAAAAAAAGCATATGGTGTCATTTTGCCATCATTTATTTAAAAAACTACTATACCACAAAATAATCTATTAAGAACATTCCACTACTAGGTCCAGAGAGTTTGTAAATAATAAACAAATCAATAATTAGGCTTCTTTCTTGTAGTAAAGAACAGTGCAAAATATATCCAATGTAGTTTTAGCCATATGCTTTAAATAAAAGAATATGTTTTTAACTCTTAACAGTTGTTTCCAGTCTTCTCACTTAAATGAACAGCAACAGAGCAGCAACTGAAACACTTCACCCTCCAACCCTCTAGTGGGCGCCTCCTTCTGCTTTAAGGAGAGCTGACACAAAATGGCGACCAGTTTCCTCTGTGGCTTTGACCAGAGGGTCTCGCAGTAAAATCACAACACAGCGTTCTTTTCACAGACCAGAGAGCAGGTTTCTCTAAAGCTGACCAACGCTTACTTTAACTTACGACGGGGAAAAAAAAAACTTCGATGGAACACTGTTTTGTGCATGCGTCAGAATACGGCAACACTACGGCAAGCCGGCTGTAGTTAGCTTGTAGCTTCGCTACTTAGCTCTCGAAGAAAAGACGGTAACACCACTTAAGCACAGTTTTCAACAAAAAAAGTAACGATTAAACAGACAGCTCTGATTTTACATCAGACAGCATTACTGTGGTTAGCTGGTAGAAGACAGATCTCTATCGTAGGCTAAATGCCTTGTTTCTACTGTGTATATCGCACATTCCTACCTGACAGGATTGTTCAGTAACAGGCTGCAACAGAGCATGTATTTGTACCGAGATGTTTGGGATGGGTGCAGGAAACCAGGCGATGAATACATTAGTGAAAAGTTTGTGATGGAAGCTGAGACTGAGCCCAAATACAGAGATCTTAAACAAGATCTTTGTTTAAAACTTGATCGTTGGCAAGTGGAGCCAACACAGTCTGTCTGTTGGTAAAATAGCTCGTGAACAACTTGGACAGACATCAGTGAACCTGTCGTCACATCTAAAACTGCTTCTGTTAGTTTATGAAAGTTAAATAACTTCGTTATTTTCCCCTCTCAGTTTTATGAACCATGCAAATGCAGCACTGGTTACCAAGCCAGTAGCTCAAGTCTTTTCCAGGCAGACCCCTGTTTGTTACAACTTGGCTCATTGGGCTGCAACATACAATGAAGACTGAACAAACTGTTTAGCTTAAGAAGTTTTTTAGTAAAAAAGTTAATAAACTTGCAACCCAGCCCGGCAAACAGCCATCAGTCTCGAGCCACACCACAGACATCAGCCCACAGGTGCAGCCAGTGACATCAATCCAGCAGAGATGAATTGTTGCAGTACCAGACCCATGAAGTTAAGTGAAGCTACCACTTCACTTAACTTCATTAGACATAAAAACAACCACTAACACACAGAGCTGAGCAACTGCAAAGATCTTCAATAGAAAAGTGATGGAGCGACCCAAATTAACAAAAGGAAGACCACGCAGAATAACCCACATAGGGCTGCAGGATCTTGTCATCTACATTAAACAGTTATTAAAACTTCCCCTTCCAGAAATAAAGCTGATAAAACTGGACTATTGAGCCCACCATAAAAGCTGAAAATAGACTGTTGCTGTTAAAGCCAGAGAAATGCTTCCATTTTTACTACTTTTTGTCACCGTGTAGTTGAAAGGACAAACCAAATGTTTGTGTAATGCATCAAGTGTGTTCATGGTACAGAACCGAGCACTGTCATTGCACAACAACCCAAAAGTAGTAACTAATAATCAGAACCACAAGGGAACTGTTGTAGGCTCAACACATCCATCCATCCATTATCTTTTACCCACTTATTCCATTTTGGGTCACGGGGGTCGCTGGTGCCCATGTCCAGCAATCACTGTGCAAGGGGCGGGGTACCCCCTGGACGGGTCTCCAGTCCATCACAGGGACACATAGAGACAAACGAGACAAACAACCATTCACTCTCTCACTCACACCTAGGGACAATTTAGAGTTACCAATCAGCCTAACATGCATGTTTTTGGTCTGTGGGAGGAAACCAGAGGACCCGGAGGAAACCCACGCATGCACGGAGAGAACATGCAAGCTGCACCCAGAAAGGCCCCTGGACCGGGGTTTGAACCAGGGACCTGCTCACTGAGAGGCACCAGTTGCGCCACCGTGCTGCCCTAGGCTCAACACAAAAAGGTTAAAACGAAGTGATCCAAGTCGAGTTACTAATGAACAAAAGATGCCAGCAAACACAGAGCCAATCCACACATCCCAACTAGCATGAACCAGTACCACACAAAGTTGCTACTGTTATCATGCCAACAACATCCAAGGTGTTGCATCATAAGGACAGTAGGCAGGCCGCTGATTCTGTTTACAGGGTTGGGCGCCCTCCTTGAATAACGGTATGGTAAACACCGATTGATATATATATAACTGACATAAGTGTGTTAGTATGGTGATGATCATTGGGATGACTGAAGATTAATCTGTGGGGGCCAAGGTCATCATTGGCCACCCCTTGACTCCACCATTGCACCTGGTAGTGGATAAAATTACTCCCTCCACTGGCCAGGATCCTTCACTCTTCACTGCTTCGGACAACCACAAAAAGCATTCTTCTGTACATCTACACAGTGTAACTCCTACTCACTGAAATATCTTACTTCAAAAACATTCAGGTTTACTCGCATTCCCTGTTCAATTCCAGCCCAGAAAAACACTCATCTATAAATATTGTGATGCATGCTCAATAATCCAGGCGGTAAAATCTAAAAAAGTTAAGTCAGGTCCTCTGGACTGGTTCAAAAAGAAAAAAAAAAAATTGTTTGAGAGAAGAGTACAGGAGGCCGTCTTTGTGAAAACCACCCATCTAGGTGTGGGCGATATGGCTCAAATATTCAATATTCATAAAATTCAAGCTTAACATCTGTTGAGCATAAATGTAACATACAAGATAATATATGTTTCTTTAAATGAGCTATAACTTCCAGAACTTGTAACAAGGTGATCTGACCCTGAAGCTTGTGGTGTTTCAGCTTCTTCTGTTCCTGCAGGAATGATTCATTTCTCTGATGCTCTGTCTTTGATCACCTGACTCTGTTCTTGCTCCATGGACTGTGGAACTCAAGAGTCACAGCTGAGCTGCGCATGTTCGTACCGGCGGGGGAGACCCAGCCGAGCTTCGCCTGCACCGGCAGTTTAAGGCTGGGTGGAGAGACAGCTGAGCTGCGCATTGTTTATTTTTAGCTTTTTAGCTAGCATTGCGTGCAGCTAATGAGCGTTACGCCAGTACCAACCGGTGGGAGGGGGTGCGCAGTTCGATTCCGTAGTTCAGCGCGCTCGGTTCTGTTAACAGGGCGGGGCGCCCCGCTTGTATAATGGTAGGGGAAACACTAAAGTATTACGTCATGAAATTAGCCTAGCCTGATTATAATTTATTTTACCGGGCAAGCTTTTTTTTTTTTTTTTTTTTTTACCAGTATTATCGTGAACAATATGATATGGCCCAACCCTACGTCCATCATTAAACAAGGTTGGAGGCCTTCATGTTCAACTGTCCCCCTCTTACAATGCTGTGATTGCTAGTATCACTCAGCCCTCTGTGAACAGTAAACAGCCATCAGTGTGCTAATGATCCATTGTTAGGCTGATGGTCCTTCTTGAGCATGTGATCAGCTGGTTTTGGTTGTCAGCAGCAAAACTGGTTGATCCACTCTGAGAAGGTGCTATTTAAGAGACTGAGCTGAATACAGCACCTCAGACTGAGGAAGTCTCTCAGATGAAAGACAATTTTTTTTTTTTTCGTTTTTTGAACCCGTCCAGAGGACCTGATTTAACTTTTTTTAGACTCATCTGTAAAACTACCATACCACTTTATTTATAAAGCACTTATAAACAGCAACAAGGCCAACCAAAGTGCTGTACAGCAGAAACAACAAACAAAGGGCACAGGATAAAATACATGGATCCACAGAGGTAAAGATAAAGATTGGGGAGTGGTGGAGCAGAGGTTAAAGAGGGTGGGCCTGTGTTTGGAGGATCGCCGGTCAACTCCCGGGACTGACAACATCAAAATGTGGGTGGAGAAGGTGAAATACCCTCACCTGCCTTCATCCTCATTTGCCCCACTCTAGACCCTTGAGCAAGGCCAGTGGTTCCTGATTGTGCCATTAGGAGGAAACAACATGACTTCTGTCTTCTCATCTGGAAACTACATTCACTATTCAAATCTCTCAGCTGCTGCGGACATTGATGTACCACCGGTGCACCTGAACAAACCTGCACTGACAGATTGTAGCAAATACTCTTCAAAAAGCTGCATGCGTGTTAAAAACTGCAAACAAGCCAGATTGATAAAAGCTAGAGAGTATTTAAAAACAGCAGAGATTGCATTCTGAGTTTACTCTACAAAGCCACTGAAGTTCAGGCTCTGCTACACATTTAAAGCGGTCCCACATACGCTCCCAGTATTCATTTACGGTCAGGTAGAAGCTGGAAGGTCAGCCAGGTGAGGTAAGTTGAGGGTCAGGCAATCATGTTTTGATTTGGAACAAGGTGAAAGCTGACAGGTCAGTCCTCTGCGTGTCCTCTTGATGGTGTACTTGTGTTTCAGGTGCGGGACTCAGTGGCCGTCAGATGCATCGGACTCAGGGCGTGTTCAACCACACAGAGGACTACGTGCTGTTGCCCGATGAGCGCACCATCAGCCTCTGCTGCTGGGACTCGAGAACGGCTGAGAGGAAGAACCTGCTGTCCTTGGGTCACAACAACATAGTCCGCGCCATCGTCCATTCTCCTACTAACCCTGGCTTCATGACCTGCAGTGATGACTTCAGGGCCCGCTTCTGGTACCGTCGCACCACCACAGACTGAGCCCAGCCTCCGCCGAAGCTCTGTCATCATTCTCCCTTTAATCAACAATGTCTTTCACTTCAAATATGTGCCACGTTGCCCGTGAAACCGTTCTGAAGAACAGCGGATGTGCATTGCAAAAGCAAAACCTCGAGTTAAAATACCATCAGTCGTCGCTGTTTCTTTTCACATGCAGCGAATAAAACCACCGGACTTGAGTTTAGTTGAAGTGAAACTGACGACTCGTACTGCTTCATTCATTTATTTCATGTGTTCCACTGACCTCGCCCTGTCAGAATTATTTTAGATTTTGTCTTTGATCCTTTTTGTAATTTGAATTTTTAATAAAGAGTTAGAAGAAAGACTGTGTTGCTGTGAATTTGATTGTGAAAAGTCCTCATTTATTTAGAGGTCCTAACCGTGTGGCGACCTGCAGGGAGCACAGATGAGCACTGACCTCCCACAACAGCTCTGTCATGTAGAGAACTCATCAAACACCTAGCCTTCAACAGCATTCAGAGGATGAAAGAACAGAAAACTAAAAGCTGTTTTTTATCAGCTGCTGCCAAAGGCAAAACGGCAATAATCGTTAAACTACTGCAATTTAGTGGTGGTAAAAACCCGAACTTGGCTATAACTAAATTAATCTTAGAGATGTTGAGCTCAGATGTGATGTGAAACCGTTGGTTCTCACAATAATCAAGAAACTGCACATAATGTCACTTTCAAGGCCCAACCAAACGGCTGTCTCGGATGGTTCTGGAATTTACTGGCAGCATGTTGGAGTAGCTCTGTTACTTTCATTCTGACTTACTGCGTTTGAGAACTTTTCTAAATGTAAATAGCTTTTTTGGATGACTCTTTCCTCTGGTATCAAACGCTGTGCAGCTGGAAGGATTTTTACTGGAAGTTTTTTTTTTTTACAAACCAGATTCCAAAAAAGTTGGGACACTAAACAAATTGTGAATAAAAACTGAATGCAATGATGTGGAGGTGCCAACATCTAATATTTTATTCAGAATAGAACACAAATCACAGATCAAAAGTTTAAACTGACAGAATGATTCATTTTAAGGGAAAAATCTGTTGTTTCCAAATTTCATGGCGTCAACAAATCCCAAAAAGTTGTGACAAGTCCATTTTTACCACTGTGTGGCATCCCCCCTTCTTCTTCCAACACTCAACAGATGTCTGGGGACAGAGGAGACCAGTTTCTCCAGTTTAGAAATAGGAATGCTCTCCCATTCATGTCTAATACAGGCCTCTAACTGTTAAATCGTCTTGGGCCTTCTTTGTGGCACCTTCCTCTTTATGATGCGCCAAATGTTCTCTATAGGTGAAAGATCTGGACTGCAGGCTGGCCATTTCAGTACCCGGATCCTTCTCCTACGTAGCCAGGATGTTGTGATTGCTGCAGAATGTGGTCTGGCATTATCGTGTTGAAAAATGCAGGGTCTTCCCTGAAAGAGATGACGTCTAGATGGGAGCATATGTTGTTCTAGAACCTGAACATAGTTCTCTGCATTAATGGTGCCTTTCCAGACATGCAAGCTGCCCATACCACAAGCGCTCATGCAACCCCATACCATCAGTGATGCAGGCTTCTGAACGGAGCGTTGATAACAACTTGGGCTATCCTTGTCCTCTCTGGTCCGGATGACATGGCGTCCCAGTGTTCCATAAAGAACTTCAAATCGTGACTCATCTGACCACAGAACAGTCTTCCATTTTGCCACACTCCATTTTAAATGACCCCTGGCCCAGTGCAAACGTCTGAGCTTGTGGAGCTTGTTTAGAAATGGCTTCCTCTTTGCACTGTAGAGTTTCAGCTGGCAACGGCAGATGGCACGGTGGATTGTGTTCACTGACAATGCTTTCTGGAAGTATTCCTGAGCCCATTCTGTTATTTCCTTGACAGTGGCATTCCTGTTTGAGGTGCAGTGACGTTTAAGGGCCCGGAGATCACGAGCATCCAGTAGAGTTTTACGGCCTTGACCCTTACGCACAGCGATTGTTCCAGATTCTCTGAATCTTTTGATGATGTTATGCACGGTTGATGATGATAACTTAAAAGTCTTTGCTATTTTACTCTGGGTAACACCATTCTGGTATTGCTGCACTATCTTTCTGCGCAACATTGGTGGAACTGGTGATCCTCTTACCATCTTGGATTCTGAGAGACACTGACACTCTGAGAAGCTCTTTTTATACCCAATCATGTTGTCAATTGACCTAATTAGTGTTAATTGGTCTTCCAGCTGTTCATTATATGCTCAATTTCCTTTTTCCAGCCACTTATTGCTACTTGTCCCAACTTTTTGGGGATTTGTTGACACTGTGAAATTTTGAATCAACATATTTTTCCTTTAAAATGTTACATTTACTCAGATTAAACTTTTGATCTGTCATCTATGTTATATTACGAATAAAATATTGACATTTGCCATCTCCACATCATTGCATTCAGTTTTTATTCACAATTTGTTTAGTGTTCCAACTTTTTTGTAATCCGGCTTGTACTGGACATTTTTATGATGCGTAACCATGGCAACAAGGTGTTTTTTAACAACCAGGAGCAGCTGATTAACATCTCAAAAGCTCAAAAAGGAGGCGCCGTTAATGAATTCCCATTAACCTGGCAGCACTGAGATCCTGGAGCTGGTGGGAAACTCAGCTTGTAAATGGTAATGGTAAATGGATTGTACTTGTATTGCACCTTTCTATCTTATTGAGGTACTCAAAGCGCTTTACACTACAATCTGTGCCTCATTTACCCATTCATACAGCACTTTACTAGATTTCTACAAAACTAATTGAACAAATCATTCTAAAGTGACTAATCAGAGCTTTATCACATTCATACACCGATGGGACACATCGGAGGCAACGAGGGGTTCAGTGTCTTGCCCAGGGACACTTGGGCATGTGACTGCTGTTGGATTCGAACCCCCAACTCTTGCATTGGAGGATAACTGCTCTAACCACCCAGCCACCCTCAGCTTGTGACAACAGGAGGACCAGGGTCAGACTGGCACCTTCAGCTGTCTGTCCGTGGTGGCGAGGAGCTCAGCAGACTGTTTGGGAGGAGTGACCATCGCTCAGGGAGGAATTCTGCCCGGCATTCAGGCGGTCCTGCTGCCCAGGAGGACCGAGAGGACCACTGGATCTGACAGCAAGCTGGATCCAGGTGGACTGATCGGTATCTGTGGCCAGGTTCTTCCGATTTGCTGCAGGAGATCCTTCCTGCCTACAACTGTCAGCATCTATAACAACTCTTGAATGAAACCAGGATGAGCTACGACAACACTTAATTTCCCTTTGGGATTAATAAAGTGTTTTTGAATTGAATTGATCAGCACACACGGTGGGCGATGTGCATCTCTTTAAGGAGTGCTAGCGTTCACGTCTATACTGAAAAATCAGTCTGCTCCTTATTTCCTAACACCTACCTCAATTCTTTTGAGACACTTAACAAGAAGGAAATTAAAATGTCTCTTCTACCACCCCCACCTGTTCAGTAAACTTTAAAAATAACCACAATGCAGTCACACCACACTCGGTCTATCAGACAAAGTTAAAGGAGCAGTGGACTGGTGACGCGCCTGCTTTACTTCAAATAAGGACTTAATAGCTGAAAGGGGAAGTAGTGGTTGTGTAGCTGCAGAAGTGTGTGTTGGGTTGGTGGTGGCTGGTAGCCTATGACTGTTGAAGACGGCAGCTGCGTTTCTGACGGGGGCCTCGGTTTCTCCGCCCCATGAGCAAAACTGCCTGGTTTTCTGTGACAGCTCCAGATTGGAGTCTAGTTTCTGATGGTTCACTGAACAGGGACCCCCTCCCTCTGTGAAGCCACGACTACCCAACAGCCATGGTAAGATCTGCTGCTCCTCTTCAAATGCATTAATATTAGTTTATGTTTTTATCCATGCCTGTGTGGGGGGGTGAGGTGGTCTTGTCTGTTAGCAAATTATCTGTCAGCAGGGAGCTGTTGTCTCCAGCTGTCTCTGTGAGGGACAGGGGACACCCTGGACAGGCTGCAAATCCATCACAGTGACACATCGAGACAGTTCTGTGAATTTACAGATAAATACGTTTTGGAGTAAATCTAATTTAAAACAGCTACCAGAGCTAAACCATCTCTGCAAAAGCAAAAAAAAAAAAAAAAAAAAAAGACTAATGCAGTCAAAAGTACAGATGCTGAGCTAAAGTTTTGTGTGGTAGTAGCCGATCTTTGTCTCGAACTCTGGCATCAAATGCGTCATTCCTTCGAAGACCAAGTGATGTTAGTGTTAGAATCTTGTTGCTCATTTTCTGGGATGTGCTTCACTCACTGCCATACGCAGTCTATGAAACGTATTCACCCCTGGAGGTTTTTAAATGGACTGTATGCTTTCTATCTTATCAACATACTCAAAGCTCTTTACACAACATGTGCCCTCATTTACCCATTCATACAGCACTCTACTAGATCTGTACAAAGAATAATCAGCTTTAGATCACATTCATACACCGACTGGACACACATCAGAGGCAATGGGGGGTTCAGTGTCTTGTCCAGGGACATTTCAACATGTGACTGCTGGTGGAATCAAACCCCAACTCTCCCATTGGAGGACGGCTGCTCTAACCACTCAGCCACAGCCGCCCCAAGGCTGTGGCTGTTATGTCAGTTAACCATGATTGATTTATCTTAGCTTGTTTTGACAAACACATTACGACGAAGCCCTTCAGTGTCAGCGATTGTTGGTTTGATAGATGTAGTTCTTTTGCAGGCAGCCTCAGTGTTCTCCAGGATGTCCATGTATTTTGCAGCATTCCCTTCACCCTCTATATTTACAAGTCCTCCATTATAGTACTGGCTGCCAATAATCCTCATACCATGATGCTGCCACCACCATTCTTCACAGTTGAAAGAGGGTGTTTACAAAGTTTTAATATTATTGTAAAAGCAAAGTTTAATCTTCCTCAAAATAATAATGTAGAAGGAAGAGAGTCATTCTGAAAATTCCCCCGTCAAGCAGCTGAGCTCATCATTGTCATCATCATGATCTGGTATTTCAAAATGGACCAGTTAGATTATGACTAACTCAGCTCATAGTGTTTGTGCACTTTAAGATGTACTCATCAGAGAGCAGGGGCAGCAGACACTCAAGAGTCAGGACAAGGGAAGAAGCTTCTTGGTCAATCTGAACCCAACAGATTTTATTTCAGTTGATCCATTTTTCATTTATTTCTTGTTTCTAGGGTTAGAATTCAGAACATTCTCAGCAAAATACCAGCTGGACAA